CTCCTGTAATGGGACATTGATCTCAATTCAAGCCACCAGCCCTGGGTCACAAAATAGGAATCTCAGAGTTCACACTTCTGTGTGAGGATGAGTGTCTTATGTGTTAAATAAGGTGCTGCTTTTCTATTCTCCATATGGTGATGGGGGGGACTCCAGCAGGAATATCCTGTCACTTTAATAAGAAATTAATTACTAAAAATATGATTGCAAAGCTTACCTTGTAGCTATGAACCATTCTTCTTGTTAGTTATAAAAGTATGAATAAAATGCTCCTTTCCCAAGAAGTTTATAATCAGGTTTGTAAACATAAGTATAAATACATACTTGAACCAGTGTTTCAGATTAACAAATTTTGAGAGAAGTTCAAGAGAATGGGAAAAGAAAAACAAAATATATTTCTATGTTGCATTGTTTGCACTTTACTGAAATGCCAAAGATGTCAACCACATGTTCTCATGAGTATGAGGCAACAGTGAAACTGCAGTCACAAGAGGAAAGGAAGACACCCCACATTAATGGAACTACACACGGAACCATGTCTAAGTGAATGCCCATGGGTGGTGATAACAGATACACACACTATTAAAGAAATATTATAGAATGGTTCTGCATTTAAATATTTTTCTATTGGGCCAGCCCGGTGGCGCACTGCTACAGTGCGCCACTTGGGAGCGCGGTGGCGCTCCCGCCGAGGGTTCGGATCCCACATATAGACCGGTTCCCGCTCACTGGCTGAGTGAGGTGCGGGTGCAACAGTGAGGGTTGCGATCCCGTTGCCGGTCCTGGTCCGGTACGGGCACGACACTGAGGGTTGCGATCTGTTGCCGTACACGAAAAAAGACAAAAAGGAAAAAATAAATAAATAAATATTTTTCTATTTCAAAAAGTCAAACATTATATGCAACTGCTGTTTTTTAAATACTTGTAAACTGAAAGCATATACAAAGACACTCCATAATTTCAATCCCACATGCCAAAGGATTGCTTGTGTCTCCATGAGAGTGAACACTGCAACTTTCTAAAAACAGGGTGTAAATGTGGTTTTGTAAATACAAATCAGTTACACACTAGATTTGAAATTTAATAGGCATCCAGAAGAACGAGAATGGAAAAAACTTTAGAGAGAATCAGAGAAGAAGAAAGCAGGGTGGCTGAAGACTAACTGCATTAGAACACAGAGGAAGGCTAGTTAGCTAGTTCACTTGGGAGAGCATGTTTCTCTTAACACTAAGGTCACAGGTTCAGATCCCCATACAGGCCAACCAATAGAAAATAAATAACAGAGCAAGAAGCATACAGAAGAAAGCAACATAGACACAAAAAGCAGGAAGACACTGTGGTCCTAAATTCCTGTGCAGAAAATAAGTGTTTTACTCTCAGGCTCTCTGCATAATTACAGCTCATTAGGTACTGGAACTGTAAAGTGTTGCTTTTAGTATGACAGAAAAATATGATGGGCAGAAATAAAACAGATTTGAATATATTATACTTGAAATATCTGTGGGAATGTACAATTTGCAATTGGATACATGATTCCAGAGTTCCAGAGAGATCTAAGCTGAAGATAAAGCTTTGGAAATGTATTAGTCTATCTCTGTTGCTTTTAACAAAATAGCTGGGTATTATGGAACTGGGTGATTTGTTAGAAAGTGAAATTTACTGCTTGCAGATTCAAAAGCTGGGGAGTCAAAAGTCTGAGGAACACAGCTGGTGAAGACCTTGATGGAGATGACAGTGACCCAGGGTTCTCACGAGGCAGAAAATGGCAGGGCAGGGAGAGGTCAACCTCTCATGAGTTCTTGTAAAGCCCTCAGAACCACATCCCTGCCCACCATTATTAACCCATTCATTATGGTATGGCCCTACAATCTAATCACATCATTAAAGCCCCATCTATGAACTACCATAATGGGATTACCCACCATCCTAACACTGTCACAAGAGGGGATCAAGTTTTCAGGGAACATTCAGTCCAAGGCAGGGAAATATCAAAATTTCAACGTTACCTGAAGAAATCAGAATAAATGAGCAAACCTAAGAGATTCCAAGTAAAAACAAAACAAAAGGAAGAACAAGGATAGAGTCTGCAGAAGCACTTTATCTTTAAACATAAGATAGAGGAAAATAAATAGAATGTGAAAAACAAAAAGGAATTTTCTAAATGTATTTCACAATTAAAGGAAAGCTCAGTATTAAAAAGTCTACCAGTATAACTCATTATATGAATATATAATTCATTTTATATTATATATATGTATTTGGATTTGGTCTGTTTGGAAATCCAACTTATTTGAAGTTCTATGAGTGAAAATTCTTTAAATAATTATATAGATGTTTAGAAAGACACATAGGGGGCAGGCCAGTATAGGGATCAAACTGTGGTCCTTGATAGTATTGGCACCGCACTCTCACAAACTGAACATAGACGACTGAACATACCTGAGAGAAAAATCTCTGAGTTTGAGGATAGATCAAAGTAATTAAAAACTGAAAACCATACACACACAAGAAGAAGACAAAAGGAAGAGAACACAATATCGGAAGAGTGTTGGACAATGTCAAAAGTTGTAATACAGAGTAATGAGAAAACCAGAAGAAGAGAGATGGAGAAAAAAATAGAAGAAATGCTTAGAACAATAATGTCTAAGAACTTCCACAAATTAATCTCAGGCACGAAACCAACGATCAAGGGAGTTAAGATAGCACAGAACCAGATAAATGTCAAAAAAATACATCTAGGCCCGGCCCGGTGGTGCACTTGGTAGAGTGCGGCACTTGGGAGCGCGGCGGCACTCCTGCCGAGGGTTCGGATCCCATATAGTGACCGGTCCGCTCAGTGGTTGAGCGCGGTGTGGGTGCGACACCGAGGGTTGCGATCCCGTTGCCGGTCGCGGTACGGGCGTGACACTGAGGGTTGCGATCCCGTTACCAGTCACGAAAAAAGACAGAAAGGAAAAAAAAATCTACATCTAGATATGTAGTTCTCAAACTTCAGAAAATCAAAAATAATAAAAAATCTGAAGTCAGAGGGACAAAAATATCTTACCTAAAAACAAACAAGGTAAGAATTACACCCCAAATCTCCTGATAATCGTGTAAGGAGAGAGTACAGTGAAATATACAAACAGTTGATTAAAGAACCCTACAACACAGAGTCCTGTACTCTATGAAATCAACCTGTAAAAAAGAAGAAAAAATAAAGACCTTCTCAGAGAAACAAAAATTGAATTTTTTGCCAGTACACCTGTACTGGAATCAGTGTGGGAAGAAGAAAAAAAAAAAAAAAAAAAAAAAAACCACGAAGAAGAAAAAAGATAGGTTAGAATCGGGATATACATAACGAAAACAAAAAAAAAGAAGTGAAGGTTCAATAAAAAGCTTTTTTTCAAATTGTTTATTCATTGCAACATAGTTGATTGTAGATATCTTTGAGGTAAAGAATTGGATATCAATATATGTGCAATATGTGATGTTCAAATCAGGATAATTAGAATGTTCTATATACAGTGTGATCGATTTTTGTGACCCTTTACAAATACCTCCCTTCCACCATCACCCCTGAGCATTTCCTCTCTCCAGTAACCTCACTTCTGTTTTCTACTCTTTTTTTTTTCTCCTTTTTTGTGTTTTTTACTGACCGGTAACAGGATCGCAACCCTCGGTGTTGCGCCCACACCGCGCTCAGCCAGTGAGTGGGAACCGGTCTCCACATGGGATCCGAACCCTCGGCGGGAGTGCTGCCGCGCTCCCAAGTGGCGCACTCTCCAGTGCGCCACTGGGCTGGCCCTGTTTTCTACTCTTGAAGTTCAATGCCTAATAGGATTACCCACCATCCTAACACTGTCACAGAGGGTGTCAAGTTTTGGGGGGACATTCAGTCCAAGGCAGGGAAATACCAACATTTCAATGTTACCTGAAGAACAATACTGTGATTGTTGTATATTTCTCTTATTTAATTTTTTTTTTTTTTAAAGATGACCGGTGAGGGGATCTCAACCCTTGGCTTGGTGTTGTCAGCACCATGCTCAGCCAGTGAGCAAACTGGCCATCCCTATATAGGATCCGATCCCGTGGCCTTGGTGTTATCAGCACCGCACTCTACAGAGCGAGCCACGGGCCGGCCCTCTCTTAATTTTTAAGTTATTTACTTTTTTAGTCATCACATATAAGTGAAAACATGCAAAATATTTCTTTCTGTAACTGGCTTATTTTACTTAACATAATTTTTTCTAAGTTCATCCATGTTGCTGTGAATGGCAATATTTCATGCTTTTTAAAGGCAGAGTAGTATTCCATTGTAGAAATATAGCATATTTTCCTTATCCAGTCTCCTGATAATGGACATTTAGGTTGATTCCAACTGTTGCCTACTGTAAATAGAGCTGCAATAAACATGGGAGTACGGGTGTCCCTTCTTCATGATTATTTCCAATCCTTTGAATGTATACCCAGCAGTGGGATGGCTGAATCATATGGCAGTTCTATCTGTAGTTGTTTGAGGAACCTCCACACGGTTTTCGATAATGGCTGCACCAATTTACAGTCTCACCAATGGTATAGGAGGGTTCCTCTTTCTCTGCAC